GGGCAGGGAAGAAACCATATCAAAGTAATTTTCACTCTTCTTCTTCACTCTGTGTTTTTTTTAGTAACAAGGTAACTCGGCTCGTCAACCCTACTCAAACCAACGGAGATTAATGTTTTACTGCTTCCATCACCGATCATTACAATGTTGTATTTCTTCTCCTACACAACCACATTTTCCATATAAAGACCTGCTTTTACGTGGATCACGACTCTGAAGTTTTTGTAGTGCGTCGTTGATCGCTAGGTGGTCGCTGCTATCGTCTTGAGCTACGGTGATACTAGGAGTCCAGGCACAGCTCAGTGAGGCTTCTCCATTCCACAGTAAAGCTAACGTCACCACCATCAAGAACAAGAAGTTCTCGATACCCATTTTAAAACTTGTTCTCTCTCTCTCTCTTTTCTTCTTTTGGTTCTTCGTTTTTATTCTCTCCTACTTCTTTGATTGTTAGAGTTATCATAAATGTTGTTTAGTGGTAGTTATAGCTTGTTACTCTTTTTGGTGTTGGCAGATTGTTTTTGCCTTTATCTTCTTTTTTCTTGGAATTCATATAATTGATTTGGGAATAAGTTTTAGATGCCAATATGGTACACATATCTATTAGGAACATTCTAGTTACCAAAAAAAAAAAAAAACAATTCTGACAATGCAATGATAAGGCAACTGGATCAGGCTCATAAGGAGCTGATAGTTCTCTGCAAGAGCAATTCAACAAAGTAACCTGATTGTTTCATGATCCAAGTATACTAGAACTTCATTTTTTCACAACATATTGTTGAATTTGATTCTTCAAGAAGCTGAAACAATTAGTTCTATATGTCAAAGCAAGTATGAAATAAAAGGTACTTAATTGATTTTAATTTTTTTTTTTAAGTAAAACCATTTTATCCGATTTAGTCACATTTGCTAACTTGATTGATTTAGGGATTTGTTTTCAATTAAATAAAAGAGGTACAAAGTCGATACAAACAAATAAATGTAATCTTTCTCAAATAAAAAAAACCAAATAAATGTAATGCATATGTATAACACATTAGTTTTATAAGTCACCATGCTATCACAAATTGAATGTGGTACTTTTGGGTGTGAATGTTTGACACAATTAGAGTGAAAAATGTAGATTTACTCTATGTTACTCTATTATTTATCCAATCACAAAAATTAATTCATCCGACGCCAAGTTTATGGGGGAGTGTTAGAGCACTCGTAACAAAGCCCAAGTCTTTACTTAAGACAAGTCCAAAACCCATGTATTCTAGGGTTCTTAGCAAGATAGTTTCATTTGATCAAAAAAAAAAG